ATATCATCTAACAACTATTTAATGTGCAAACACAAATATGGTGCATAGCTCAACATTTTATTATATATTCATACATTTCTTTACTGGCATTGCAATACACAAACAATTAAAGCTTATACAAATTGTGTCACTGAAATAAATTACAGTAAAAACCATGACACTGTTTTTTAGTATTAGGGAGCTTTAGTATAAGATTAATTTTACATGATATAAGGTTGGAGATAAAAATGACTTTTTAATTTAAATTTTATGATTTTTTTCTGTCTGAGTGTTTCAGCTCCTGTGATACAACCCAATCACATGACATAAAATAATAATAAAACTCTGGACTGGTCAATTCTACAGACATTAATAAAGAAAGAGTCTGTCCTGCTGTCTGGGGGAGATGTTGAGAACCAAATATAAACACGGGGAACATTTTGTTCAGCTGAGAAAAGATTGAGCACTGAGTGGCGGTATAACATATTCAAGCTTTCTTCATAAATCCATTCATTTCCAGTGTCCATGTCAGTCTTTTCCATAAACTCCAGACTATGTTGCTTCAATTTTATGTTGTAGTTTTAACAGCGAAAGAGATTAATCAGATTCTGTCTTTTGTAAATGAAACGCCGCTTCACTCATCAAAAAAGAGAATGAGGTGTTGAAATTGTTCATTGATCCTTTAAACTTGAGAAATAACACAAGTGTAATCACATGACAAATGAGCTCATAATTCATCTTGCTCACATTCAAAAAAAAGAAAAAAAATTAAACTGAGAATAACAATATGAAGCTCTCAGCTGACCTAATATCAACTGTCTCTGAACTGCTTCCGCCGATGAAACCACAGTACATCCTCCACTGACCTACTGCTGGAAACATGCAATCCATTTACACTGGGGCACATGTACAACAACCCCTTTCCTCCCCGCTAATCCTTTCATATCTACACACACACACACACACACACACACACACACACACACACACACATCTGGCCGGGGGGTAAATTAACTAACATTCCCACAGAGGCTAATCTCCATCCATTTAGGGGTCTGTAATATTTAATCAGGAGGCCCTGGACCGTCTCCCAGCGCCACACGCTGTGGCACAGTTCATATGTTAGAGTAGAGGCCAGCCCAGAGGCGACGGAGGGGAATTCACTGCTAAAAGCCACAATGCATTCAACCACAGAGCCTCTTGCTCTCGTTCACACTCCTGATCCTGCGATCCTTTGGGGTGGAGGAGATAGGAAAACAGTAACTGTAATGGTAGATTTGGGAATTTTGGCTGCACTTTTATTTTTGTTATTATTGTTGAATATATGTGCATATTGTTAGAATAGATTGTTCACTTTTCATTTCAGTGTATTTTCAGTTGATGATCAGATATTTCTTATTTTTTGATGAATCTGTTTATAGTTAAATCTATATGTTGTCAAAATGAATTCACTACAGAGTTCAAACCTAAAGAAATGTATTTTACAATTATATAAATCTAGAAAAGAAGCTCATCCAGTCCTGCTTAATAAATGACTTAAACAATAAATTACACATCAAAAATGAAATTAAATCAATTAAAGAGACACTCCAGTGATTATTATTGCACTTCCATAAGAGACACATTTGCAAAACAATAGCCAAAGTCAATGCTGCAGATATTCTGACTTTTGGTCCCCAGTGTGAGTAAACTTCCAAAAACAATGGGTCGTGCATTTCCCATAAAGCAATTCAGTGATGTCTTTCAGATTAGACCCTCATTGCTCAGTAAACACATCTGTGACACTCCTCAAAGCAGTTCGTCACACAGACTTTCTGCTTAAAATTTAAAGTCAGGGATCCACAAAAAAAAAGGCTTGTTTTATTTGCACCATTTTGTGCCTGTATTTGTATAGCATAATGAATATTCTTACATTTCTGCGTGTGGGGCCCCTTTAATCCCCTGTCAGATGAGTAATCAACTAATTGTTTTAGCACTAAATGTAATACCATAAGTTATGACCTCGAAAATGATTTTTTCATATTTGATAAAGGCTTTATTAATCACAGGGCTGTTGTTTTGTCGGGTATTCCTCCTATTCTGTCGCTGCACACCCACACTGTTTCAGTATCAGTCCTCCTGACACAGGACATGCAGTACAGTGTGATCATAGACAGACAGTGCGGTGTTAGCCGTCCTGCCTGGAGGTATCACACCGGACACAGCCAACTGCTCTCACACTCACACACAGTAAAGGTCAGGTCTCGCACCATCAGTGTGAAAAGCCTGAGCTGAAAAGGGTATAGCCCATCTGTTTTTAACAGTTCAGGACTGTTGATGCTTGAGTGTGTGTGTGTATGTGTGTGCGTGTGTGTGTGTACAGTACGTACAGTGTGTGCTTGACCTGACCTGCAGCAAAAAAATTGCCGTCTGCTGAGATTTTGTGTTTTATAAACATAACATTTGCGTTCCTAAGTGTCGAGTGATAAAAGTGCTGTGTGTGGCCATTGTAATGCCTGCGCCCTGATTCAGACTGACTGTAATGGGGAGGCCTGGTGAATTTTTCATACAGCCCAGAGGGGGAGGACGAGTGACCATACTGGCAGAGTACAACCTCTCAGAGAGAGAGAAAGAGAGAGAGCAGAAGGGTGAAGGAGGAACCTGACATTCAGGCCGCAGCTTCACCTTTCGTCAAGCTTTTGGTGAACACAAACTTGAAAAGATGTTAAAGTCATGATCATTTTTTGAATCAAATCCCTCTGAAAGTATAATTTTCACTAAATATTTTTCACGAACAAAACAAGATTCAACAAAACAATAAGAGAATCAAGGTGGAGAAATCTTTTTGACCTCTTGTGTGGCTTATAGCAAACCAAAGATGCTTGTATGTGAATCCTACTGACAGGTCATTTTTAACTGTGAATTATTTGAAGTTCATTGAAGTAAAGTGTGTCCAGAAATGCTTTTATGACTCAGTTTGAAAAAAGGGAATACTACCCACTACTGTTTTGTACATATCTCGGCTTTGTTAATGCACTGACTCCAAGAAGTCGATTAAAAATCGAGGAGGAGGGCTAACTCGTTTAAAATATTTCCTGTATCGTTTTTGATTAATCTCTGATCATCTGTCATGTACTACATTTAAGAAACAAAAGCAGCTTCATCCGGATGATGCTTTGTGGGCCTCATGAACAAAAGCAGGATGAAAAATGCCCAAGATCTTAATTTAATGGGCTGAAATTTCTGCAAGAAAGCTCTAAAAAAATTATCCATCTGTTCAATGCACACATGCCACAGTTCAGTCAGATAGCTTGTAGCACTGTCTTGCGTATGCAAATATGTTTTGCCTGGAAATCTATTTGGAGTTGCTCGAAGGAATCCAGAACGGCCCTCCTTCTGTCTCCCCTCTCCGGCTCACGCTGGGCTCCCTCTTGCCGTCTATCTCCTCTCGTGTGGAAAACATTTTCACCAGCTCCACACGCATGGACATACAGTCAGTGGCACCGCCTTACCTCAGACTGCCTAAACCACCATGGGCCAATATGCAGATCTCACAGGCCCACACTAGCGGCCCTGTCCGCAAGCGGGACGAGGAGCCCTGCAAGTGTTTGCTCAGTTGGATAAAACATGCAATACAGGGACACAGAGGGAATAATTATCCACTCTGTGAAGAGACCACTGATTGTGTCCTTCTGTTGAGGACGTTCAGTCCTTCTTTTGGGCAGAAACAGAGGCGTGTGTGGCCCCAGAATACAACCTGTCTGCAAAAGTCAATCGTCATGAAATCAAAAGGTTTCAAGTGTTAATAAAACAAAAAAATAATTGTATCAACTATTTACTTTCTACATGATGTTGGTCTCTTTTTTTGTAAGGTGTTATATGATTAACAAAATACTACTGCACATTCTTTTTAAACTGTAATCACTGAAACACTAAAACACTAGAATGATTTAATAAAGTTAAGTTTATACATTCTAATTTTTTCATGTATATGTATGTATGAAGAATTAGTGCCCCTTTTGGGCAGAGATGCAAAAAGAAGGAAATAACAGACCGTGTGTGTGTGTGTGTGTGTGTGTGTGTGTGTGTGTGTGTACCAGAGGGCTGAGAGGCCAGGCTTGGGCAGATGGTCCACAAAGGTGTTACCACACAGTGAGTGGGCACTGGGATTGATGCATTGCAACATCCAAGAAGGTGGAACATTTGGCTGCTGACCCGCAGTCAGAACTCATTGGCCCTGCCTCCTCCTTATTTAGCTGCAGCGAGAGAGCCGACGGGTGATTTGGTCAGAATAAACACACACACTAGAAACGCAGCACTTTCCCACCCTCAAGGGAGCCTGCATGGGCTGTGTGCACTGGAAACTTCCTCCCTCGTCTCTGCAAGGAGGTCACAATGGTGGTGCAGGCAGGGAGGATGAGTGCACAGAGTCATGGAGACAAACAGAGACGGCACACAGGAACTTAGGGTTACTGTGTTACACTTGGATGGAGAAGATCTGACCTTGGGCTTATTCTGAGGGGCCTTTGTTAGAGAAGCAAGTCCATATGACTTGATTTCTGCAAGTAACATGTAACATATCCATCTGATGATGTTTCTTTGCCGTGGTTATCTCAAGCACAGTGGAGAAATTGGGAAATATGGAGACAAAAGACCCACGAGGACGGGGTGCAGAAGCTTTAAATTATGGCTTCTCTTTCACTCCAATTCAAAAATGTCTTCTGAAAAATGACATTTTACAGGTGGAGCACAGGCATTAAAAATCTGTAAAGAATTAGAATGTGCATCAAAGAAACAGCTGGATAAGTCAAAATTAAGTTGTGCTTTCTTAGTAAAAATATGATGGAAAAGTGGGAGTGTCCCATCCCTCTTTCAGCCAAATGAGTGACATTCATAAAAATAAAAGAAAAAGAAAAAATTCTACAATTAAGACACAATAAATAAAAATTAATCTAATTATTCCCTTGTTGGAATTATGTACACAAGTTATTTTTTCTTGAAAATGTGTCAAAAAGATGATTACGAAAAGGAAGCTGCCAGAGTTCAAAGACGAAATATTCTCTGTAATTACAAACATTATTAGTTATGCACATGGCGAGATTATATTTCAGGCCCAAAAGCATTCTTACATCAGCTGAAACATGGAAAATTCATGAGTGGGTACAGTAACCGACGGCAAACATTATGGCAATGGATTTTAAACATGATAATTGCTATTTGTCTCTCAGTGCAGTTAAATCATTAAGTCTACTCTAGGAATAATGCATCCCCCTAGTTTGCTGTTTTAATATCTCATTCATATTTTCATTATCAATATCACTGGGCCTGCAAAAACAAATGGTGACAAATTTTCAATGCGTGATAGCAGGTTTTTGAATGGACTTCTTTTTATTACAATATGCAAATTTTAACCAAAAAAAAACAAAATTGAATTCTAAACTGATAGTTGCACTGTTTTATATGTGTCATCTCTATTGTGATTTGCTTTTAAACGCACTATAGTGTGAATGGTAATGTAAGCTGATATCAAACATATATAAACATAACAACAGATTAAATTTATTTGAATTGCAGCAATCGATCATTTTTCTTAACATTTTAATCAGTTATTCGTGGCCTCAGTTAATAAGCAATAAGTATGCCACATCACATCAGTGGATGCATGTATGATGAAGCTCTGACACAAGTTTTTTTTTTTTGATGTGAACTAGTGCAGACTGCCACCCTATGGATGCATGTGGCACATCAACATTTTGTGCTTGATCTTTACCAGTCTGCTCCGACAACAATCACGGGATGAAGCTTTGAGAAACAAAGACTAGTATGACTTTAGAGGAATGACTGAGAGTTACCATGCAGCAAAATATTTGAGTGAATGCATTAAGACAGCAGACTTCTGTGCATTTGTGAAAAGAGTTATAGGATACTATTTAGTTACAGGAGACAGTGAATGTCCCAAACACTCCTGCTTTCTTCTGTTGATCTTTTAGGAACAGTTGAAGGGCCCTAACATAAAAAAACACTGAATCTAAGAAAGACAATCACACATATCAGTATCAGTCCAACACAAATCTTTAAAGCCTCATCCCTCTCTGCAAGCAGCTCCACACCGAGTCAGTCATCATCCACCACCATCACGTTTCCGTTCAGCTCATACTCAATAGTGGCCCAGTCAAAGATGTTTCCCTTGGGGACCTTGTGCCCATAGTGCCAGGCCTGGATCATGCTCCTAGACAGCACAAAGTCCCACATATTCAGATCGGTCACCTCCCCTACAAAGCTCTGTGCGGCTTCTAAACCCCCCAGGTGCTTGTCTGGGTCCTGCCCCAGGAGGATGCTGCCGTTTGGACGGATGGTGTGCCCAGGTTTGTAGACCTGGTAGGTGCTCCGCTTCCCTTCCACCCAAAAAGCAGTGAGGCCAGTGCGAGACTCCCAGGTAAGGCAGAGGCTGATGCGGAAGGTGGTGAGGGGTGGCAGGTGAAAGAAGACACCGTCACCACTCAGGTAAAAAGAGATGCGTCCATCCCTCTCGCGCCACACGTTGAGTTCATCATAGTCAGCTGTGCGGTAGGCGAACAGGATGATCTGCCGGTCTTCTGGCAGCTCAGTGGCCACACGCATGCAGAGCGTGAAGGCTCTCAGCCCCATCTCCTTCTGCGGGATCAGGGCCACGAAGCTGAAGTCCGTCTCATAAGGGAAGACCAGGACTTTGTCACTGAGACCAACTGTAGCAACACAGACAAGAAAGAGAGAATGAAGGAGACACCAAATCTTGATCAGGATGGGAAAACATACACTTTTGAAAATTGAACATGTGCACAAACCAAATCAAAATTAACATTTTTTCTAATGACATTTTGTTCTTGAACTCCTACCTTGTGTGCCTACGGAGAAACTCCAAGATAATCCAAGGACACTAAGCAGAACCACAGCAAACTTCTGCAAACACACACAGAACATCCATGATCAGCCATCACCTGACAACAACCCCAAAGCGATATTGATTATTGAACACTTCAGTCACATCAAAGGTCAAATTAAGTAAAAAGTTACGAGGGGAAACATCTTTTCTTACCATTTTAATGTTGTGTTGTCGTTCGTCGATGTTGCTTACTCAGTCCCACTTGCTAATGAGCCGGTGCCCAGTCCTCTTCCCTCCTAGCACAGGGCATGACGTCAGCTCTTCAACGGATGCTCTGACAATAGGCCTGGTGTGTGAGGCCTGAGTGACGCTGTCCTGTGCATGTGACTGATGCAGACACACACTATTTCACCTATGTTTGTGTGTGTCGTTATCGCATGATGAGCATGATGAGTTTAGGCGTTTACATTAAAGATCTGATCTGATCCATGTGCAGAGATTCTTGTAGTTTATGTTGAGATATGTCGCTGAGATTCTTGATGGCACCCCAATATGAATGGAGGCATCTAAAGCTTCATTTCTGCTAGTCACAGCTTTGAAAATTGACATTTGAGAAGCTCAGCAGCAACATTGTCCGTACCCATTCAAAGAATCAGCAGGATTGTGAGACTTATTACCCTTTATATACATCAGTACATATTATTTCACATGCATGTGAGGCTTTAAATATCATAAGGTCAAGATGAAAAAATGCATTTGTTTAACCCAACCTCATATCTTAGGAAAGTATGTTTCTAACAGTGACACAGTGGGAGTGGACAAAATTATAGAAACACCTGCAATAGAAATAAATTGCTTAACCTTGAAAGTTTTCAACTGATGGCCATTTCAAGGACGCAAAGTTTGAAGTTTTAGTCTGTTCAGCTACACATTGGTACAGGATTTTTCAGGCTGATAAATTTGCTAATCACATATTTTCACATAATTGCATGAATAAGATGTGCACCTGAAAGTGGCACATTTTACATCTGTACATTGTTACATCTTGTTAATTATTAGTTAACATATACACCAATACTAAAATATCTGCGATAAACTAATAGATATATCAGCCCAGCTCATTTATCGGTCAGGCTTGGCTACAGAGGTTAAGTCAAATTTGCTTTAATGCAGATCTAAAAATTTTCAAAAAAAAAACACAGTATAGATCCTTAAAGATGCATTGCTACCTGAAAAGCAGACACTGGGAAAACTGATGTAATATGGCAGGAAGAAATATGTAAAAACCCTTAATGCAGGAAAAATGAATGAACACAGGAACATTTGACAGATGAAGACCCATATTACTGACTCAAAAACAGTTCATGGGATTTTTTGTTTGTATCAAACTATGAAATCAAAAAATAAAAGTCAAGTCAGATGTCTCTGATAATCTGACAATATTAGGTTTATCAAAATTTGTATTTACTGCAGGGCTCATGTCATGAATTGTACTGCAGAGCTTTTATTTTGTTATTTATATGCTGGAGACCATCTGATTCCTGTTAATAGATTTCCAATGAGCAGCAGAATTGCCGTCATACTTGGTATCTCTTTAATGATGATCTAATGTCAGAAACACCACAAAAAACTCAAAGTTCATGGTTTAATCGGGACAAATGAAAACTGAACCAGGCATTTATGTTATCAACATATCTACATTTAATACAGTTTCTCAAGCTCTAGGATTTCTCAAGAAAAAAAAAAGAACCCTATTTTGTCAAGAAATAAAATCTGAGATACACCAGCAAATTATTTACACTGCCTGCACCCCAACACGAACCGCCAACAGGCCTAATTCACCATAGACGCACATTCAGCAGAAATACCTGTAAACTAAGAGCACGGAACTGAGAATGTGTTGTACAGAGAATGCCAGCGAACCAGCATGCAAAAAATTTGGACTGAGGTATGGATGAGATAAGATGGTCGCAACTCTTCCAGCATTTGTGACAGAGGAGGTTGGTATAGTGATGCTAGTGAACCTCAAATCCTTCTAACGGGGAAATTCCAAAACTTAAAAAGTTAGTTTCACACTGATGACTGGTTTATATAAGCTGTTGCAACCATTGTCTTTATAACTGTGACACTGGGAGAAGGTGCATAAAATTAACAGCAAAATGGTGAGCAAAATAACGACCATCCTCTTGTTTTTGCAACAGAAAAGATAATTCACTTCATGCTTGATGTGAGCGTCCACTGTCATTTGCAGACAAACAGCACCAGCCAAACACAATGTCCGAGCACATTTTTTGTTTTTACGAACGACACAGACAGCACAGATCATTCCTCAAAGTAGATTTTTGCATCAACTCAAACAGCTGATGTCATCTATCACAATTCATTTCAACATTTTCGATTGATATCCAGCAATGTCAAAACTTTTTTTTGTATGTAGCAGTCATTTCCATTCATTATCTGTATCCAGTTCAAGGCTGGTTTTCATGAAATCCTTACAGTCCTGATAAAAAACATTTTGAATTACAGTAGGTCAAACCTAAAGAGTATATTATGCATACATTCAACTTAGCTCAATTGTCTGAAAGGGATGTGATTGATATGCGAAGAAAAAAAAACAAAACATAATCTACTCAGTCTTACAGTATGGTGACATGGTTGGGCATGTTTGCAGCGCCACATTCATGCCAGTTGACTCAGGTTAAAATGTTCAGTGACACACTTTACCGTTTACTATATTTCAATCATTATGTAAAACTTGCATACAAACTACTGACCCTTGTTGAGAATAGGGTTTTGGCATTTTAGTTACCACTTCAGCAAATGTACATTAAGAAGTCAGCAAATGCTCCACACTTAAAAGAAAAAATTATGAAACACTGGAGTAAACGCCAAATAAAAGGCCAAAGTCTTAATGAATTCTACCACCAAAATGTAGATTTTTTTTCAATTGGTGGCATCTGTGAAACACTGGAGTGTAATGCTGATGCTTTCCAAGGATTGTGGCACTCAGAGAAAGAGAAAGAAAGAGAGAATGAGAGAGGGAGAGGGAGGGGGGGGCAAGAAGAGACCTGAGAACATGGCCCCTTATTTTGAGTAAAGAAAGGAGTCAAGCTTAGAGACTAGAAACAGCATGACAGAGAGGAAGAGGATAAAGAGTTACGAGGGAAGGTACAGAAAAAGCAGAATGAAAAGGGGTTTTAAAGGGAGCAGCAGGCCATGAACACCGAGCCTCAGAGAGTTGGAGCAGGAAGTTTTACAGCAAAGATAAAATGTGGGGAGGAGAGGCAGACCGAGATACATGGCTCCCATTTGGTCGTCCATAGTGTGGCTTTTCCCGCTTGTGTTAAGTACATATCCAGGCAAGGGGTGATCTGTTCTCTAAAGTCTTGTGTTGTCCAGGCTTTGTGTCGAGTATCGGGGGGTATGATGGAGAAATGGGAGGTGGGCGTCCCTTCAGTAGTCCTCCACCCAGCCGTTCTCCTGGATAAAGGCATCGATGACTTCCTTCATGGCCAGGTTCGGGATCAGCTGATCCTGGGTCAGGGGACTCCTGGTGACGGGGTCAAAATGACCCACTCGCTATAGAGAGAGTAGGTTAAATGTTAGAGTTACTATCTATGGCTGAATTTTATACAGAAATATATACAAATTTGACATATTTTACACATTGGGGACAATCACACAATATTATAATATGTTCTTTTTAGCTTGACCAAAGACACTCACATAAAAACTACAAATGCGCAATATTCAAATGTATTTGGGCACAATGTAATTTAGTCATACATCATCTCTCCACAAATATATACACTGGAAATAAAATTTTTGAAATTGACTGACAAATTCATAAATTCAGACCGATGTTTTTCAAAGTAAAATATTTCAGTGGTATAAATTAGGAATTAGTCATGATACATGTTTTATAAAAATCTAAACACATTAATAATCAATTAATGGTTTTAGTGCGTTCAGTGTTCTTCATAAAAGCACCAAAAAAGGCAGCACTGCTGGATTCAAGGTATCGCTTACCATATTAATGATTATCTAAACAAATATTTACTTAATTTGGTTGTTTACTGTAAAAGTCATGAACTTCTGAGTAAGGTGTTTATGTAACAGGGGTTTATGAACTAAAGGCCTCAAGATTACAAAATCAGCGGTCATATGCAGGTTATTAAGCTCTGAGATAACAACAGTTTACCTGTAGGTGCTCTTCAATGTCCTTGCGATCATAGGTGATTCCACTGGGTGTGATGCAGGGCTCCCTCATCAGCTCAAAACTGATCTTCCCACACAGGTAATCTGGGATCTCCCGTTTCTGAACGGACAACAAAACACACCAACAGTCACGCTGAGGTAATGCTAAGAGATATATGGATATATGATAATTGCCACCATGATACCGTGATGTGGCTTAAATGTTTTCTTTCTCTGGTCTTACATGGTTTGTTACACTTTAATAACAAAAATCATATTCACATTGATGTTTTTCCTCTTGAAACAACACCACCCACTCCCAGTTTAGATTAAATGTTGCACGAAAGCGCCAGTGCTGATACTAAAAATATCATCAAACTAAAATCAAGGCACTATATCAAAATGATGTCAGTATTTCTTTCATCAGGACTTGCTAGCTCTACACTGAAGCCCTTACACCTTCTAACACATACAGAAGAGGAACACCCTGCAGGCTGTCAGTGCGTTGTCATTTCAACTGACAATTACATAACAACTACCTCAGTCAAGTCGACACCTATCTATAGCAAAGATAATTAATCACTACAAGCCTTGGCAAACAAACGGAGATGGTTACCAGAGAAACAGCTTGGGCGGAAAATAACACACAACTGTTTGTCTATAGTATAGGTGCATTTTTAACATGTATGTAGTCAGTTAGCGATCACGTGTAGGTTGAATGTACAGCACAGGAAGAGGACAGAGAGAATGTCCTCAAACCAAGTAAATACATTTTACTTATATTTTATTTTTCCAAATACATTTGAGATATGCCAACATATCTGTACACAAATCTGAAAGAGGGTATGTGTGTCTAAGTCTATTTCTGTTGTTGCTATGTCAACGATCAGAGAAGATAGTGTGATGTGGGTGTGGACTGTAATAAGGACGAATTCCTGTGGGCGAATGTAATCAATGTGTGCCCGTCTGTTTGGTAGCCTTGTGATGGACTGGTGAACAACCCAGGATGTTTACCTGCTTTTTGCCCAATTCATTATGGGATTACCTCCAGTCCTCTTATAACAGGAATAAGTGGGT